CAATTTGCGAGTTTTAATAATAAAAAACTATTACATTTGTTTTAACGTACCATGTTTCTAAATTAGTATTAACTCTCAATTGGTAAACTTAACATATGACGTATACATATCCGATTGGAAAGTCTGGATTCAATCAAGATTTACTCTAGATCTGTCAAATGTTGTTCAATCGAACATTTTTAAGGTATTCTAACATTTTTTTAAGTAGTGTTAGTAGACATTTTTATTTTTCATAAATACATATATCGATCACATCATACATTATTTGTCAAGTCACATTAAACAGCTGTTAATTTCGGGGTAATCGTGCTACTCTGGCAAAATATCTAGACTGTCATATTCGAGTTAATCTCGAGTGCTGCGCATTAATCTCGAGTGTTATGCAGATTAACTAATCAAAAATGAAAATTAAACCTTAAACCAAGAGTGAATCTCGATTAAAAAAGTAACACCAGATTTACCAATTGAAGCGCCATTACAATAAATTTTTTTATGATTTATATTTATTGAACACTATTAAAAAGCGTTCAAATATTTATAATACAGTATTAATTTTAATACATACGTACAAATAATATATAAATTTATTTGTGTTTTGCTTATGTTTCACATATTCATTTGTGTAAATAATGTCATTTGTGTAAACTTGATTCAGCAATGTGCACTTTCTTGTTTTTGCGTTTTCCATCACTGCATCACTGCATCACTGGTAAATGTCAACTATAGTTCAGCAATTTGCTGCAAAGCGTCAGGCAAAGACGCTTTATAAGAGCTGTGTAGGAACTCAATTTGCTGTAACATAGTTTATTATTATTTGAAGTGAAAGTATTAGAAATTATCACAAATAGGAATAAATTGCAATACTTTGTCGGTCGAAAGTTCGGTTCGAAAGTTAGCTGTCGTGTACGATCACGGACATAAAGTTTATAACAAAAGCACGGAATGAGGAGGCTTGGGCTGCAATAGCAGTTGAATTCTAAGAAACGGGTATGGATTTCTTATTAGTAATTAAGCAATAATTGTGGTTGGTTACTGGTCTTCAATACTATGCAATAAGTGTATGCGTTCATGAATAAAAAACCTTCAAAAAACAATATTTTACATGGATTGTTTGTTCAAGACAGGATGCTTTCTAAAAAAATGAAAAAATGAAAAATATTTATTGCAAATGTTTAAATGGAAAAACGCATCAGCAGTTGGTGGTTTTCAAACCAACACCTTTGAAATTAAAGTTTATTTTTATTGTTTTTGAAATGCAAAAATCCTTTGATATAAGTGAAGAACATAAACATGAGGTAAGTTAAAAATTAAATTGCATATTTATAAGTTTGTGAAACTATATTTGGAGATTGCTTGATCCCCGATTTAATTAGATTTAAAATTGCAAACTTTTCACATGACAATCACAAACACAAACACAATCTCAATCAAACAATAACTTGTGATAGCTAATTGATTATTTATATAGTTTATTAGTATACCTCCGATAATTAGTTGTGTTCACGAAGAATTAAAAAAAAACAAATTTACTTTGAGAAAATATTGACACAGTCAGCGTTTCAAAAGTTATACTTAAGACAAGTACTAGGTCTTCATTATCTAGCTTTTCGCTAATATCCGAGATGAATAATTTGGGGTATCGAAGCGCAACTGTAATATTCAGTTAGTCTCACTAATTCTATTTTCTTCAATTTCAACTACTTTTTATTTTGTTTTTGCTTCCAAATAAACTTTCGACGAAACTGAAAAAGTTAATTTATCAATATTAAGTAAATATTATATTAATATAATAGTAAGCAAAGAATACCTTTCACAGACCGTAAAGTTTTAAGAATAGACGCGGATTTGTCTCGGGTGTTGTAACGGATTTGGTGTACATGTGAAATGTATATTAAATCCGCATTTATAGATGGATTCAAATCCTACGGGAAGTGTACGGAGATACATGGTTTTGATAGAGAGTTTACTGCCATAACGGGTTTGAAAGGGACCGGTAAATCAAATATTCTTGATGCGATATGTTTCGTGATCGGTAGAATGAACTTAAGTCAGGTAATGTTTTGTGCTAATATCGGATATCAGGTGTGAGCTGCATCGTTCGAAGATTAAATTTTTAAAAGTGGACAAGCGGGCATAACTAAAGGTACGGTGACTATAATATTTGACAATACGGATCTAGAGCAAGTAAGTTTTTAAAGCAATGTTAGAAGCGAAGTAGTGGATTCTATAATAACATTACTTACAGTGTCCGTTAGGTTTTGAAAATTGCAGTGAAATATCAGTCACACGCCAAATTGTTGTAGCAGTTTTCTACTTTTGTTCAGTAGATCTCGATGTCAATAATCCCAATTTTCTTATTATGCAAGGACGTATAACTAAAGTGTTAAATATGAAACCAAAAGAAGTAAGATTACGTCAATTAATAATTAAAATACATTGGTATAACTTTTTACATAACTGATTAGATTCTTTCCATGATTGAGGAAGCTGCTGGCACAAGTTTATATGATAGCAAACGTGATGCCACTAATAAACTTTTAGAAGAGAAAGATTTGATGGTACGTGGAGCGAATCAATTACTTGATAAAGCAGTTGAATCAAAACTGGAAAAATGACGAAAAGAACAGACAGATTACATAGACTATCAAAACATTTGTAGTGATATTGATCATTTAACACGCATTCAAAGGCGGAGCTAGACCAACTCTGGACGTCGGCGACATTAGAATTGCGAGGCCCCCTTTCTAACCCAGTTATAAAACTAAATAAGTTACTTTCACTAATATGACAAAGCATGATTGAAAGTTTTATTGCTAATCTTTTACTTTTAGCTTCACTTAATTTTTTTTAAAATTATATCATAAATTGCGACAGCTGCTATTTTCGCTTCAGTTTATAGAATTTCGAATGGAGATAGTCTCTCTTGGATTATCATAATTTTCTAGTACGTCTTAATTAATTTTAAATTTGAAAAGCTTCTTTCCGTCGAAGCTATACTGACTAAAACTGTGAACATGAATCTGGTTACTATATAAACATTCGGAAATATTTGAATATGGTTAATGCCATTATCAAACCAAATTGTTCAAAATATTTACTAAGTGCTTAGAATCCACAGTCGGTAACTTTTTGCGAGGCCCCTGTGGGCGCGAGGCCGTCGGCGGTCGCCGTCATCGCTGACGCCTAGCGACGCCTCTGCACGCATTCATATATCTTATCGATACACAAAGCATAAACAGAGTCTAAAAGCAAATAAAGCAACTCTCGAGAAGATTTGTGCAGACATAACCAAGTAAACTTGGTTAATCTTTGATAAAAGATTATGAAAAAACACTAGAAAGTAAAGAAACTAAGCTGCCTAATATTCAAACTAATTTTGACCAGTTGAAACAAGCAGAAACAAATGATAAGCTTAAGTATAAGGCAGCGCTGAAAGAAATGGGTGACATATCGCGAGGACTAACTACCAATGAGGAAGGGGTTACCACGTCGTTACAAGATGAATTAATAAGTAATTATTAACCATTTTTAATTTGTATGAAATTATAAATGTGAGATTTATGTTTAAAAGGTATTACTGTACAAATTATTGATGCCAAAACTGACGTAAAAGGTACTGAAATGGAATTGGTTCACACTCGCAATAAACTTAGAGATCAACAAAATAAGACACAAAAAAATGAAGATGCGTATACTAATTATAAAGTAAAACAAAAAGAAATTGAAAACAAAATAAAGCAACTAGAAGCTAAACTAAAACAAATGAATTATGAAGATGGGTTATATGAAAAATTAGAACAACGTAAAATGCAGATCAATAAGGAAATTCGAAATATAGACAGTAAATTAAATAGGCTTAATGCACAGAACTTTAATATGGACTATATAGATCCAGAACCAAATTTCGATCGGTCTAAAGTGCGTGGCATGGTTGGACAATTATTTAAAGTAAAGGATCCTCAGTATAATATTGCATTACAAGCTGTAATTGGAGAGGATGTAAGTTTATATTATTTTTATTTATTTTAAGTTTATATTTTTTTTTATGTATTTCAATTATTATCTTCCAGCTCTTCAGCCATGTTGTAGATGATGATATTACTGCTAAAAAAATATTACAAAAGGGTGAACTTACTAAAGGAGTAACCATCCTTCCCATGAACAAAATTGAAGAAAGTAGCATTGATCCCAAAATAATAGAAAATGGACAAAAACTTGTAAGTAAATTTTTTCGATTACATATTTTAATTTTTTAACTCAAATAATTATTTAATTTTGTAATAGGTTGGTAAAGAAAATATGAAAACAGCAATTGATTTAATAGAGTACGATAAATACTATGATCCTGTAATGAAGTTTGCTTTTGGACACTCTGTAATATGCAAGAATCTAGATATTGCTAAAGAGGTAAATATGATTTTTTATTTCTTATTTGTTGTATGTGTATTGAAAATTTTGATAACAATTGCCTACAAATATATATGTAAATTAATATTCGGGTTCGTTTATTAATGTTTTTAAAAAATTATATTTTTTATTTTTTAATGTGTTTAATTTTACAATTTATAAGTTTAAATACAATTTTTTATAATTAGTTCTAAAATATTTATTTTTTAAGATATATTTAATTTTTGATTTTTTTAAAAGAACCGACAAACAACTTTATTTTTAAAGACAGCTTTCTAAGACTCTTTAACTCTTTTCTTAACGACTCGACCGTTTGTTTTAAACCTTTCCCAACGACTCAACCGTTTAGTTTTAATCTTTCCTAACGACTCAACCGTTTAGTTTTAATCTTTCCTAACGACTCAACCGTTTAGTTTTAATCTTTCCTAACGACTGACAATTCAAAGTTTTTCCTTTGATGCCTGAAGTCGTTATTGAAAATCTGAAATTGGATTTCATCCAATTGAATTTAAGCTTCTAAAATTCCTAAGAATTTTCTAGAAGCGTCTTTTCTCCATCCAATAGGATTGGAGCTTCTATTTGCTAAAGCACCTCGTCAGCGTCTTTAGCTTTGGCGTCAATAGCCAAATGACGATATCTTTGTCCAATAATGATTGAACAATTCATCGATCAAGTATTTCAAATGATACTTGATCTGTTTTGCACAACATAGTTGCGTCTTAAAGGAAAACAATTTTGTTTTCTTTTGCAACATTGTTGCCATAAGAAGTGCAGGCAGTAAGCCTGACTGAAATTAAATATACAAACGCGCGTAGGCGTTATGAAATATCTTAATGCGCAATTCTTAGATGCGCATACTTGAGATACAAAAATTATGTGTAACGGCAAAGTGCCGTTATAGTAATACAGGGTGTTAACTTGTATACTCGATATATGTTTTTATGAATTCACTACTTATGTTAAATACAAACACTTGCAGTTCTTGATATTTTTGTTATTTAAGCGTTTAATGTCAACCAAAACCTAGAATTTACTCAGCAAATTTGCTTCATTATTATGGTTTGACTGATACACCACCATTTGCGTTCAAGGAAAACCAACCAGAAATAATGTACAATGTAAGGTCTCACACATCGGCTCAAAGAAGGTTCTTTTTGAGTATAAATAACATCCAATTAATAGGTCCTCCACTTTACTTAATATTTGCTTAAAATTTTAAACCTATCAGAGTAACATAGCTAAAAATCTATATAAGGCAAATATCAGCTAAATTTTTAAACGATGATATACAAAATTCTCTTATAGTTAATGGGCTAGACATACTGTCTGCGCCTAAATTGTTTCTGAGCTGGATTGTAATATTATAATATCAACACTGAGGCCTTTCTAGTTATAATCGAAACTCTTGCAATACTGAATTCTCTAGAATTTACATTATATTAAAAAGTGAAAGCTATCGAGATAACCGTTGTACCCAATAAACCATTTGTCAAGTCCCTTTGGGATGTGTTGAACGGCACTTAGTCGTCACTGGCGATGAGCGGCATCCTAAGTACGTCGTAATGGTTTCTTTTTTTCTATTTCTAACAATGAATGGAAAAAATTTTATTTTAATAGATTTATGTTGTTACCATAGTCCCAAGTTTACATAAGCATATTTAGGGTCCATTAAAATCTAAATATAGTCAAACTCGCCCCATTTGTTAAATGTTTTCAATTGCTGTCATAAGTAACAAGTAACTGTCACAAGTTTCCTTTAAATTTGATTATGTGATCAAATTATGTGATTAGATCACTTTTATCTTAAGTGGATATTTAGATAATTTATTTCTATGAATATAGTGCTATAAATTAAAATGTCTCAAATACGTTTTAAAGTTTGATTAAATTTCCCAATAGTTTATACAATAAGCGAAGAAAGTTAGTATATATAAGTATTGAGTTAAATTAAAATCACATCCGATACTTTTGAATCTTAATCAAGTTTATCCCCATCAAGCGAATTTTAGAGTATAAACATGGTAGGTGATATCCTTTGAAATCGATAAATAAACAAAAGAAATATCCTTAATGCGACTTCAATTTATATAGCTTGCTCTATTTTATAAATATGATATGTTCCTTCTGTACGAATTTTTTATTTTGTATTTATATTTTTATAGATAACTTGCAATCCTAAAGTAAATTGCAGATCAGTAACGTTAGATGGTGATATATTGGAACCAGAAGGAATTCAGACAGGTGGCGCTCGTGAAGAAGGTGATGATTGGCTACCTATTTTTGCAGATATAAAACATAACGAAGAATTATTAAAAAATCTTAATATAGAGTTACAAAACGTTAATAGAAAATTAGAGTAAGTTAATGTTTAATATAGATTTATAGTTACATTTAAGAAATAGTATATTTTGGAATAGATCAATAAAAGTGGTAGCAGCTGCTTATGATAAAATTAAAGACGATGTGGAAGAAGCGCAACTTCATTTAGCCTGCTGCTTGCAACGATTATCCGTGACTTCATTTCAGGAACATGAAGAAGAAATAAATTTGCTTAAGTAAAACATTATTGATTTAGAATCGACTTTAGTCAATTCACACGAAGCAATTAAAATGAATCAGGCTAAGATTAAAGATTTAGAAGTCAAAATTCAGGATGGTGCTGGTTATCGAAAACGTGAATTGAAACAGGCAATAGAGGAAATGGAGGCAGCTGCTAAGAAAGCACAAATATCTCATCAGAATGTGACGAAACATGAAATCGAATATTCAACACTGAAGCTTGAAATAGAAGTACTACGCGAAAATATGGAAAAGTCCGAAAAAGAGCGTGAGACTTTAATCGAAAAAATATCTAAAATGAAATCGAGTATTACTGATTTACAGATCAACTGCAAAAATTATTCGTCTCAACTGTGTGAGTTTAGAGATCGCATTGATAAACAGAAAGAATTTATAGAATTACAAAATCTCGAATTAAAGACTCTAGTAATTAAAAAAGAAAAGTTGCATAAACAAAATGATTTGAATCTTGACATAAAGAGAAGAGAAACAGAATTAAATAAAATGACTATTGAAAATGAACTATCTTTAGCAAAAATAACAGATCTGGAGAATAGATATCCTTGGATTCTTGAAGACTGCGAATTTTTCGATCAAAAAAACACTCGTTATGATTATAGCAAAGAAAATCCAACTGCTACGGGAGAAAAATTGGCAGGAATGCTTGAGAAAAAAGCTAAAATGGAGAAACACATTAATGTTGAGGCAATGGTGGTATTAGATAGAGAGAAAGCAAACTACCAGAAAATAATGCGCCGCAAAAAGATCGTCGACCAAGATAAGGAAAAAATTAAAAGAACTATATGCAAAATGGACGAAAAATAGAAAATTTCGGTAGTATATTTGGGACATTATTGCAAGCCATACAAGGTCGCCTCCATCCGATTATGCAGTGTAATCATTTGGTGGGACTTGAAATTAAAGTTGGATTTAATGGAGTTTGGAAGAAGTCATTGAATGAATTATCTGGTGGTCAAACATCATTAGTCGCGTTATCATTGGTACTAGCAATGCTTAAATTTTCGCCTGCTCCTTTATATACTCTTGATGAAGTCAATGCTGCTCTAGATATTTCCCATACACAAAATATTGGGAATGTGCTAAAAGAACATTTCACCAATTTACAGTTCATAATTGGGTCTTTAGAAGATGGTATGTTTAACAATGCGAATGTCTTATTTCGTACCAAATTTGAAGAAGGAAACATTTGAGTTTGAAAACAAAATATGTCCTGATACTGTGCGGAAAATTTTGAAGAAAAGCATGTGAATTAAATAAATGGGTTCTTGTTTAAAATTTTTAAAAGGAATGATTTTATTGATATTTAATTTAACATTTAAATTATATCTTATTTGCTTTTTTAGTGTTGAACTTTTATTAAATTAATAAATTTTGTGTTATTTATTTATAAGTTTAATTAGTATAATTTTAATGTCAAATATTAAGTATAATAATTGGATTCAGATAACGACTATCTTTAGCAAACCCTTCTCAACGACTGACTTCTAAGAAGTTTGCTTCTGATGTCAATAGTCGTTCATAAGATTTTTAGGATTGGATTTGATCAATCAAATTATAGCCTCTAAAATTCATCAGAATATTCTAGAAGCTTCTTTATCTCCATCCTATAGATTGGAGCTTCTATTTTTTAAAGCGACTCGTAAGCGTCTATAGCTTTGCCGTCAATACCCAGATGACGAGATTAATATCCAATAGTATTTGGACATCTCTTCGATTAAGTATTTTGAATGATACTTGATATGTTTTCTGCAAGGTTCTTGCAGTTACTTGGATTCGCATACTTAACATACAAAAATTGTTTGTAAAGGTAAAGTGTCGTTATAGTAATACAGGGTGTTAACTCCCCCTGTCTAAGATGAAGCGTCCCGCTTTATGAAATTTGAAAATTATTGATCTAAGTTATTGAAGACAATGTCTTGATCCTTATCAATTATTGTCGTGTTCGGTCTGTTTTTACAATATTTATAACATTTATAACTAATATATGTGATAATTAATGCTATTACAATTAAAAGTGTTGTTAAAGAGATAGGGCTTTCTTTATATTCGTTTTTTAAAATGTTAATCAAATCTCTGTTATTTAATTTAATTTGTTTTTACTTGACTGTAAAAATGTATTTTATTTTCTGTATTTTCATATATTAAATTATCTACAAGTATGTTAATTGTTTCGTTAAAAGTTACTAAATATGTTCCGGAAATATTATTATTATTATTTACAGAATGATTTCCGGTAAAAAGTATTGCCCCCTCTTTGATTATATCTACATTTTTATTTTTTCTTTTATTTTTTTACAATTCGTTTGTCCTTTATTTAAAATATCTGAAAGACAATTATTTTTATTGTTTAATTTACAATTATTTTTATATTAAAGATGTCTGTCTCTTTCTTCACATGCTTATTTTTATTGATTTATATTTTTCATTTATTATATTGCCGGTAATTTCTTCGGCTGACGCCTTAGAATTTTTTATCCCAAGGAGGTATGCTTTATATATTTTTTATGATAAATTTTTTGTGTTACCGGTAAATTTTTCGGCTAGCGCCTTAGGATTTTCTTTATAAGGAAAGGAAGATACCTTTATATATTTTTATAATTATTTGTTTTATCAGTTTTCTATATAATATTTTTCATACATTATTTATTAATGGTAAACAAACATGTTCTCAATTTTTGTTTTTATTAAGAACTGTTTCCCATATACTTTCCTTCTTTAAGGCATCACGGGAATATAGTTCGGATTTGTGAATTTTTTCTGAATTTTATTTGTCTTTTTTTGTATAATTTTAAATTTTTTGCCGACATTATAATCGGCTGGCTTTCCAGAATTTTTTATCTCCCGGAATATTATTTAATATATTTGATTTGAGTCGTTAAGAAAAGTATGGAAAATCAAGTTCAGTCGTTGTCATTGATTTTCGTTTAAATATTTTTTATTTTTCTTTATATTATTTCATTAATTTTGTATATAAATATTTCTGATTTTAGTTCTGTTAAAATTCTTAATTATTAGTTTACTATGTTATTGTACTTTTGATTTTTTTAGGATTTATTTATATTTTATCTACAATTTTTCATATATTTTTATTATTATTTTCTATATATAATAATATATGTTACTAATTATTAAGTCTGTTTTCTTCTTTCAGAAAACTTTTCTATTTATCTTTTCCTATTTAAAGATTATATATGTTGCATAATATATTCAATTTTTTAATTAACATTACTTCATTGTGTTTAAGTTTCTCTTTAAGAATTTTGTTTGAAAAAAATTTAATCTTAGAGTAATATATATATATTTATATATGTTTAAATAATAACAAAAATATGTTTTTTTGGTAGGAAATTAAAATATTTATGATACATTTTTTTTATTTTTTATATATATTATACATGTGACTTACATATTTTATATCTATTATTTTGCATTCAAGTACTTAAGTTCCTCTTAACTTATATAAAATTAGTTTTAATTTTCATACTTATTATGAAGTATAATTATTATTTTTATTATTATGTTTTTTTGTTGCAAATAGTTTACAATAGCTAATTAACAAATTTATAATTTCTATAAACAATAATTTTCATTAAGTGGTTAATAAAACATTTGTAGTTAAATTTATATTTATTTACGTTATATAAATTTTTTTTTCTTTCTGGTTATGTGTTTAGGGGATCTTGTAAATAATGTAGTTTTGTGGTACTGCAAAAATTTTGTATCTTGTATCTGGAAGTTTTTAATTCTTAATGTCGATTTTTAGTGCAAACATGTTTTTGTGTTTTACTTAGTGAGTAATAAATTTTAAACATAAAATTATTGTTTAAAAAAGAATTTAGAATACTGCACTTTTTATTATTATTTTTTAATAAGTTGTTTAAAAAAAAGTATTTCTTTTATTATATTATTATCATACAATTATTTTTAAATCAAGTTAAAGCATTTATGTATATGTAAGGCTTTATCTAAATATTTATTAAATTATTATATAATTTTAGGGGTACCATTCTTTATCTTTTCTTTTCTTATTTATTATTATTTTTGAAAAAAATTAATTGAAGTTTTACTTAAAGAATATACCTTCTGCTCAAAAAGTACTCGGATTTTGTAAATAAAACACATAAATTTAAATTTTATTCCAAATTTATTTCATCTCTTTCAAAATATGCTCCTTCTGAAGCGATACACATATGCCAACGCTTAACCTAATCTTCCATACACTTTTCGTAGGCCCGTGAAGGTATGGCTTTTAGTTCCTTCAGCGAATTCTCTTTTACCGATTCAATCGACTCAAAACGCTTACCACGAAGGGGCAATTTGAGTTTCGGGAACAGAAAAAATTCGCACGGATCCAGATCTGGCGAATATGGTGCCTGAGCGATGACAGTGGTGCCGTGTTTGGGTGTTTGGTCAAAAAATCGCATACAACACGAATTTCCATAGTAAAAATCGCTAAATGCACTTGAGGTATTGAGGTAGTCTCACATTAACAGTTGTTGTAAACAAACTAATAGACAGATGGCGCTCAAATTTGTACCATATGTCAAGAAAGGGTGTACCAACACAACAAAATCAAAAGGTCTATTACTTAAGGAGTAGTTAACAGAGGGTATATGTATATATATATGTGTATATATATAATTCAATTCTCAATGAATTGAATTATAAATAATTGTTAGGCATCGATTGCTCTTGTGGCTTCTTCGATTTTCAATTCCAAATATATGGTAAAAGTATATTTGCAAAAGGATAAATAAATTTAAAACTTTTTTAAATAAATTATGTAGAGCTTTTCAAAAGTTTTTTTTTTATTTTTAAATATTTTTGTTAATAATATATATGGTATTTCACCATTTGATTCATTCGTTTTGAATATATTTGAAATTGATTTCTTGTAATTGTTCAGTTATTTAATAATTATAAAACTATTATTGACTTAAAAGAAAAGTCATTCGTCAATATACAAAATTCGAATTAAAAAAAAATCA